GAGCAGCATATTAGATTAAGAATAGCTTCAGGATCCCAACGACCGAAAGCGAGCTGTTGTGCATACTAGTACTTTGGAACTCTCGTAATCGACCGACGTATTGGAACTTGACGTCATATTCTAACACAATAATTCTGCTCATATACTACACAAAGTTTGCTGCTGTCCTGGGGGGTTGAATTCAGGTCAGCCAGTGCAGTCCTGATCTAAAGCTGGTCCACTGGCTGAGGATTCCGAGATTCTGGCAACTGGGGCCTAGAGACACTTAATGAGATAGCTGAGATTCGCAAACATTGACGCCCATGCATCTACTCATTATTCTAGAAACCTCATGTATCTGAATTCTCTATCTTCTCTTTGACTCTGCTCTCAGAATTTCATTCTTCTGCTCTTTTATCCAAATGGGCAGTCTAAAGGCGGAAACCGTCTCCGTCGCACAACCGTGCATAGCTATTAGTNAGTTATAAAAGTTAAAACGAAACCTGCTTGATAATCTTTTGTCGTGTATGCTACCTATTGTATTCAAGAATTCCGTACCTTACCGATCAGAGTGAAGCAATAACAACCTTTGAGCGAGAACGGGTGGACATTGACCGATCACATATCTTACGACACAATAAGAGGTCTTCTAACAGAATTTCAACTGCGTAAGAGTTTAATCAGTATCTATCATCGCCAAGTTGGGATTTTTCACCCCTTAGTTTTGCCTTTTTTCTGTATCTCATTAGATCACGCTTCATGATTTTGTTTTGAAATTTGGTATATCGTATCCTACCGTGCACTGGGTCTTTCTGATTAGACATGGGTTTGCTCGAGAATGCCGAAACGGAAACACAGTACTTTGACGCAAATGCAAACAACGGTGGATTTGTATGCATTGCGAGTTTGGCAGCGATCAGTTAAGTTCGCCTCACTGTATTTCGCTATACGATGATGATGGTGGGTGGAAACAGATGCAACCAGACAGTGGCAACAAAAACGTCGGTGGCTCCGTGACGACCGTGAACTAGCTCAAACGATAATACGAGGAACAGTTGTCATTTCAAGGCACATTGGGTTCATTTTACATCCTGTCTATACTAGTTTTGATGAAAACCGGTGCAGTAATGCCCAGTGATACCTGGAGAACCTGTACACACCCAAGCATCAGCTTTCTCATGAGATATACTTGGAACTAACCATTATTCATTCATTGGGTAGGAAACCAGATGAGACAGGACACGCTCACTTCTTTACTGACTGGATATGCTTCACCGGAAGGGGATAATGATTCATTGATAATATCAGATAATTAGTTTACAACAAAAATAAATGCTTCCGAGTTCTTCACTTTTCTTTTCATTTGCTGTGCATGCGGCCAATAGCCTCATGTAATCGAATAAAATTCTTTGTTACTCCTTTGTAATTTATCATAAGTTGTTCATATGAATGATTTGTTCCAGCAGTTCACTGTACTATATGGAATTTTGTCGAACTTTCACTCTGATTTGAAGTCAGTTGCCTAGTCCTCACACTTGTATATCTCAGTTCACTTCCAGTCAGTCAACAACCGATCACCTGATGACCAGATTAGTCATCGCACCGTTGATTTTATCACCGCTATCGATGCAATAGCCCAGGATTGGTGTTCCCAGACCAAAAGCATCACAATAGCTATCCAATGTTACTCGTGCCCCAATCTGACCGTAATCGGCTCTCCGTCAACCGATGTCGTTTCTTCGTCCCCTTTGGTTCCACAGAGACCCCCCTGTTTGGTCTCGCTTATATAAGCAGTTTTGGTGTTCTTAGTTTAGCGAGATCTCTTCTGTGGTATGATATCTGAACCGTGAATGACGTCGTCAAGATCGTGAGAAGTGAAAGGCTACTGAAAGTCAAGCAGAACTGTACTCTACGGGGAGCGTCTTCGAGTCGCGGACAGGGAATGGCCACTTGGGTGGTTAATCGTGGATGTGTGAATTACTTCGCTGACGATTGGTTGCGACACCCGATAACACGGTGGGCTTTTACCTGACGGATTTTATAACAGGTCACATCTGCTGAAAGCTTCATGACTCACAAAATAAAATCATCACTATTGCCCTATCGCCTCAAAGGTTGCACCTGGTTGTGCTATGGTTAGAGGTGCATCCTCGGTTCTGAGGGTTCCTCGTGGGTTCAGCCATGATATCGATCCATTCTCATGTAGAACTAAGTAGGCACTTTTTAATGCTTAACCTGGGGTTTGGGGGATTTATAAAAACTCCATTTTCTTCATAGTTCTGCATATGCCATTACAGTCTTATGAGTAATTCAAGGTTTCTATTCTAGGTGAACGCAATCAAACAAGCGGCAAATGACCGACAGCTACAAGTAGACATATTGATTGATGCTTCTCGCGGACTCAGATGCTCCTCTCTAACCCACCGGTACGCCCGGCTGGGTGATCAACAGTCATCTTCGGTTACCTCAGCACCATTGCCACCACACACTCATACACATTCACAAGGTCCTGGCACCAGTAAATATACCTCCTCTGTGGATTTGCTGACCAGTTTAACCGGTATCGATGGCGTTTCCGTCTATCTATATCATAATCCCCGATTACGAGGTTGGCTCCAGTATCTGCTCCCAAATCGAATGAATGAGGTACTGGGTGTGCAGCATATCAAAGCTTATGTATTTGATGATTCAGTCGTTCTCAGTGGGTAAGTGGTGTGGTTGGTTTGAATGCATATAGTTTGTTTGCCAGCTGCATAGAATGGTGTGGTCCCCTTGTTATCTACATGTTTGCATGGATCAATTCTTTCAGTTCCCAGATTTACGAAAGACCGGAACTCACATTGTCTTCGGTTTTTTTTCTGTTTCTGGCATCTGTAACTCATGTTTGATCATTTTCTGGCAAACTATACCTGGGAGAAGAACCTAAACGGTTATAAACCGGAATGGGAAGAGCAGAGATCTATATGAAAATGCTAAACGTTTGCCAGAGCTATTATTTAGTAGTCATGATTTAAATCTTATTTATTATACGTTTATGTTTAACACATCGCCAGTTATATAAATCACCTGGTTGGACAGGTGATTAATAACAGCTTCCAAGAATGATCTGTAAGTTGGATTCTCGTGTAATGGTCGGAACACCCCATCACATCGGAAACTAGCAGAGCTCTTTCATCGTATATCTGCTCATACCGTAGTCTTCAACCGCGCCACATACCCAGCTTTACCTCTTGCTTCAGAATTTAACATTCCGTCACTTTCAAACGGTCTGATGCGAACTCCAATTTTTGCTGTTTTATCTTTCTGTTATAACCCCACAGAGCAAACTTAAGCCACGAGTACTTTGTCAATAGGCAGGATCGTGCTTGGCTATTTGGTCAGTTTCCCGCCCTGGCAGACTTTTACACCGGTCTCGTGCGAGTTCTCAGTCAGTTTTGTTATCGGCTTGCTCCAGACGGATCTTTACATAGACACTCCCTCGCGACAGACCCAGTGACTAGTGAGTTACAAATTCGACCCGATATACTGTTCAAGTTCATCCCACAAATTCTGTTTTGCATTTTTTTTCTTGAACATTTTTGGTAAAGGAGTTAGCTTTTCCGTCATTCGTTCCTGGTTGATAAAACGAATCTGGATCACGAACACAGTCGCTTCTGCGACGTACGAAGTTCATTCGATGTGTTTGTATGCTCAGATTGATTGATCCGCTTCATTTTCACCATTGCGCAAACCTTGCCCTGGATCAAAGTACATCATCTATCTCATTGGAATAACGGTAACTGGGAGGAACAGACAAACTTTGAGCCGGCGTGTTAAACTTCCACCTTATTGTGATTATTGTAGTAGTGATATCTGGACTGTGGGGGTAGGGTGGGGATGGAGTCGCTAAGATTTACAGTTAGTGTTTGTGTGCTTATATAGCAGTGGAGCAGAGGTTTGTAAACGCTTTGTACTGAATGCATTGCCATTTTCACCCCTTAATACTGCAATGTTATGTAATTTTTACTTTATATCTTAGATGAGGTCGAAAACTTCTTGCTCGTCTGATTCCCTAGCTTTACTGTTACTTGCCGATTGTTTTTTCTCGGGGAAGCCGCCATAACCAAATTTAAAGACCATTCAAAGCAAACTGTTTTTCCTACTCTTGTTTAGCTCCTCTACGGTCGTTTGAAAAGAGATTTCGGGCTGCGTTAGAACACTACATAAATGATGTACGAACGCGGTTCCCGGCCGAACACATTCAACCAAATCAATCCACACTCATTTGCCCCTTGGTCCAATTTGGACCGTATGGAATTCAAAATGAGGAACAGTTTACACTCAGTCTACTACGCCACATTATCTCAGACACGGAACATCATTACGACATGGCCCTTGCCTCTGGCTATTTCAATTTGACGGAGTTCTATGCTAAATTGTTGATAGATTTTGGCACGTATCAGCTTCGATCGAAACTGACCCTTTTGTGCGCTTCACCCACGGTACGTTCGGTATAGTTTAGCCTGTCGTTATTTGTGGGTATATTTCGTCGGTATGTCAATTGTTTGGGTCTTTCAATACAGATTAGGTCAAATTCACGCACACACAAGGTTCACACTGTGTTGAGTACTACACCATTTCGTTTTTTAAACACGATTGATATCCTGTTTGCTGAATAAACCGATATGACGTTAAAAGGATTATTGACCAAAAGCAGATCGGCTCCTCGGATTGGTAGGAGAGTTTAGAAAGCTAGTCACCCTTACAGAATCGACTTCTTACACGCCCATTGAAAAGCTCCGGAAGCGTTCTTTGGCTGGCTTTGTTACCAATCCCCAGAACCTTTTGAGGTTGGATATGCATCAGTGTACTCCCTACGTGTTGCAACCCAGGCTGGTTTCAAATGCCAATTTTATATTGAAAATAACCGATATTGTGGTTGCTGGTTTCTTTGACCATACGTTGTAATTAACTAATACGATGGCATGAAAAAGCATGACAATAACGTCTGATGGACTCTACAGAGTTGAACCAAAGCTGGTGGGTACCCTTTAGAGGTGCACAGGAGACTATTTCAATGTCGGAGTTTTTACTGCACTTGTTTCTATGACCGTTGAATAATCTTATTGCAACTTGTATTTTCATGCTCTTCGCTTTAGGCAAACGGATTCCTCAATTCTCGTGGACTATCTGGTTACATTCCAATGGCCTATCGGGAATCATTAATTAGGCTGCTGACGCGGTTTGGTCCACATACCAGGGGGATCGCCTATCCAACCATACTGGAATATAACCGTCCTGGTTGGACTTTTCACGCCAAAGGGCTCTGGTATGAACGATATCAGCATTCTGAAAATAATCCGCAACACTCGGACACATCGTTCACACTAATTGGCTCGTCCAATTTCAGTTATCGATCACTGAATCGAGACTTGGAAAGTCAGGTGGCCGTATGGACAACTGACCCTGTTTTGCGAGCGCAAATTCAAAACGAGCGTAATCATCTGTTTCAGACCACCTACGCTTACCCAGTGCTGTTGTCCAAACTTGTAGCTCAAACCCAGTTCCGATTACCTTGGTATATGCGAGTTTTATTCCCTATATTGCATACTTACATGTAACTCACATCGTGCCTTATCACTTCATGTTTGGATGATCCACAATCCTCGTGTATTGTCTTCTCCAACCCTCAATTTGCTACCTCAAGTCCTTCACCTCCTTCCCAGTTTATTAGCTTTCGTCAACCCTTGATAGCATCACTCAATTATGCAACTAATTGGTTTCACCATCCTGTAGATACAAATGACATGCTAAACTTCACTCAGGAACATCGAGTAGAACGTGATATCCCCACCTTGTTTTGGATCCAAACTCCGAGAGGCATCCTCATTGTCTTCGATGCGAACGATTTCACGGCGTTTTGCTTGTTCCATTCTGTCCCGCTTTATCAATAAATTCGTGTCTACGTATCACTTTCTGTTGTCGTCTCTGACCGCCTAATGTAAGCAGTGTGCCCCTTCCAACGTGATAGAGGACTTGGTTGCAGACGATTATGACCTCAGCGACTATCGCGTTGTCATAATAATTCAAATGTGACAGTGTTCGCTCATACTCCAGACGGTAGAGGAATCTGAATAGCGCTTTGGATGCAATATTATTTATATAGTTAGTTCACGCGAGTTTCATTAGATCTTTTCGATCGCTCATCGACAATAAATGTGATGTGAAAACAATTCTGATAGAAGCTCGATAGCTTTCAAGTCGCCGGAGTCGGTTCTACCCGACGAAAACCTCCTTCCCAGTGAAGCTTTAGTCAAAACCCGCAATCCTTTAGTTGAGACTAGTAATTCTTTAACACGAAACCCGCAATACTTTAGCCTCTACTCATTGAGGGGTTTTTGGCTAAAGCTCTCTGGGACGAGATGTAGTTCTTGCATCTCAATCCAAAAACAACTAATATGATAAGCCTATCAGACGCCGCTGAATGAATTAGACCGCTACCTTCCTGGGAGACGTGGCTTTGACAGATTCTACCATCAGCTCCTCGTTAGTTAGCACTAAATCTAGTGTTGATGGTACTTGACTTGCTCCAAATCTGGTGGATTCTGTAGCATGGTTGTATATTGGGTGCAATCCAATGCAATGAACTGAGACAATTGCCTCTCGAATGGCTGGCGGGAAGTCCTCGTTCTGATGAGATTGGGGCAGTTAAAGTCACCCATTATGAGGACATGGGTGAACTTCACTGATAATGCATTCCTCATGGTTTACAACAAAACCTCGTTGGCTGAGTCAGAAGATGCGGGAGGTCGGTACACAACACCGATTAGACACCTATCGTTTCTGGAGAGTCTTACTAAACACCATAACGAATCGGGGGCTGCGCCGGGAATATC